TCTAGCTTAAGTCTTTCACCTTCAATGTTTAGCAATATCTAAAGATTTGTTCCATTTGATAGTCAAATAAAAAAGCTGAAGTTATCGGCAGCAAAAGAACTCAATTTTCATCAGTTCAACAGCGGTACAGTAAAAAACGTAATACAAAGAAATTTAATCAAACCAAAGAAAAAAATATTTGCAGTATTTAAACTTTCGCATCTTATCGGTCTTTTCAATACTACAAACCCATATTTTATCGCAGTAATTAACATTTGATAACAAATGTCGCTTATTTTTAAACAATCGTTAGTTGATTTTATTAGCAGTTATTAGTACTCAAAAATATTTAGTGATCATCTGTAGTTAAAAGAATACAACTTACAACTATTCAAGCAAATTTTATATGTGACAAATCTTCTTTAAAGCTAATAACAAATTGAAACATTTTTACTGTCAAAAAATGCGATAACTAACAATTATCATTTAAAATAATATCAGTTATAATTAGTAATAAAACAGGTTTGAAACCTCTGATCACAGTCATAATACAGGACTTCAAATAGCTTTCAAGAATCTCCTATCAAAAACCGTTTCTGCAGTAACTTACACTGATACGTCGCCTAATCAGGTCAAAAATTGACCAAGTTTCCTTAATCAACCTGCAATTATTTCACCAAAAAATATACACCAATACATTTTACAATTGAGTCAGTAAAATATATTATTTTTTAAACTCAAAATTTATGCCGTTATTTCGCAAGTCTCTTTTTCAAATAGTTCCAATAATTACTTACCGGTACTGCTGGAAAATCAAATATTTTGGTCAAATTACTCAATCGGTTAGTAAGCAAAGTAATGTTGCAAAAGTTACTTCTCTACAGTTTGAAAGTCAACAATCGCTCCTTGTCAACAAAATATGATACTACAAAAATGAAAATGAAACACTAATTAAAAGCCTTAGATCAACTTTTCAAAACAAGTTTGCTTGCACTGCAGTCACTTTAGTTAAGTTACAGCTATAAGAACTTTTAGAAAAATCTTGATTCCTAATAAGGTAAGCAAAAAAAACCGTCTTGCATCATGAATTTCCCAAAATATTTGGTTAGTAAAATATACGTCTAAAGTGTTTATCGGCACAATAAATGGTTGAATATTTGCAGTCCTCAAAGTTTTTTTTTTGAAGTGAGCTTCAAATGTCATCAATCATCGGAAGGAAGGAACTCTATCGTATAACACTGTAGCAAAAAAAAAAGAAATTTAGTCTTAAAACTACGTCCGCTTTATTCATAATCACCATTTTAGAACGAAAAAATCCTTGCAAAGTCAAAATCAAATACTTCAAACACAATTACATACAATTCACAAAAAATTAAGTTTTTTTTTAAGGAACTTATGAATGTCAGTCTAATTTACAATACTCACTGCAAAACAAATGAAAAAAACATCACAAAATTGCACATTTGGCACCAATCAAAAGTATCCAACCTTCCAGCAGAAGAAGCCAGTACTACTTTGGATAGATAATGAAAATGAACGACTCAACAACAAATGAAAGATCTAAACTAAAAAGTGTTTTACCAATCTCCGTTGTACCAATCTACGAAGAAGAAGCGTTAAATGAAAGATTTAACGCTTTCAAACTAGATTTTTTAAAAATTTAAAACTTGCTATGAGCAGAGTTTAGTTACTACTTTACTTTCGAGCATGAGTACCGATGACATTCACATTTAATTAGACAGACAACTAATGATAGAATGCTAAAAATTATCCTTGATGCATACGACAACCAAAAACAAGAATTTTTTCAATGACAGATGTCATCAGGTATCATGGAAAAACACAAGGAGCAATAGCATTCAGTAACCGACCTGAAATCTCATAATTCAATTAAGCAGCAAAGAAGACTTATAAAACTTTAAATTAAATTTTAGAGAACATAAATGAACATGAATAATTGTTTATTTTCTTAGTAAAAACCTAGTGAGTACTTATTAGTACAATCTGAAGTATCAAAACACCCATTCCCCAGGCATATCAAAGAACTGATGTTTATACCAAACTTTTCGCTCTTTTACTAATGCCACTGCGCAAATTAAGACACCCCGTTCCTATGATTCGATTTTGAAAAGACGTTTACGAGAACGGTCACTGCCTCTAAGGAATATCCTTTGGTAAAGTCTTCTTGTAAACTACAGAAGACAACCTAGCCAAACCTTCTAATGTAATTACTCCAGTACCTAAATTACCTACATCATCTTTTTAATAGAGGCTCTTCGCTTTTTAAACCTACTCGCTTCATTTTCTTTTTCTGCTTTCTTTTAATTAAAAACTCAAAAGTAATTGAACCATGTAAGCAGCTTAAAATTTTCTCAAATCAAATAAACAGTCCAAAATAACAAATATCATAACTCTTCCTGACTTGACACGCAAAAAGACCTTGATTTTTGAACAGCGCATATCCACAGCGCGTCGTAAAACAAGTGAGATTTTGACAACAACAGATAAAACTTTACTTATAGTGTACCAAAAAAACCTCTTTGTTCGAATATGCAAGCAGCTAAGAAGCTGTAAAGAAACAGAAACAGCAATAATTCCTCGCAATTCTAGCAAACAATTTTGCACATTTAAAATAATCTTATTTTTCTCAAAAAAATAGCAATCCAAGATCGAAACTAGTACTTTTTCTAGGAAAAAATGGAAATCCTTAATGTTCTCAACGTAAACTACATCAAGCCAGCAAAATAACGGTATGCAGCAGCAAAGTACTAACCACCGTTAAGCTAAACATATTAAAATTCACATTAACCTTCATCAACAATTTATTAATGCGAAGCATCTGCTAACCGTTCTTTGTATTCTTTGTGGAACTCTATTTAAAAGGAGACCCTCGCCAAAAATGTCTGTATAAAAGCATGCAACTTTTTCAATTAAGGGTGTCTTTTCCCGACATTTGTCCTAATTATCCAAGACTTTACTCAAACGGCCAACCCCTGTATTACCACCTGCTTCTAGAAGCAGAACTTCAGGTTAATTATTTTTTATTTTGTAGTGTAAAAAGGTCACTCGAGGCTCTATACACCAGCAAATAATACCTCTACATTTGAAAATACTATAAAATCAGGTCCCTTACGATCCTGCAACGTTTTACAAGTTAAACATCTTACCGTGCACAAGCCCTGTTTCAACAACAAAACTCAACACCAAATAGGCGTTGCCTTCCTACTTCTTTGAAAATCGTTACCACTCTACCCAATAACATTCTTCAAACCCCTATATTTCATATAGCTTCACTTGCTAAGAACTCAATGCGAAACTCAAAAATATAATGCCAGTACTACCTCTTCTCGCTCAGCAATCACCAAGCTAAACCTTTTGTTTGACGACAAGACAAAAAACTAGGAAATTATACTCAAATTCTTTTAATCGATCGACCATGAGCACACATCTTATAAGAACTTCAAACAACAATAAACCAATATTTAAAACCGCTCCATTTTTACTACTGAGATACAGTACTAAGTACAAAGAGAATCCTAAATTGGTTTGCTAAAGTAGTAAACGCTTCTGACCAATAAGGCAATGTACATGGATCTGTTAAAAAGCAAACAGGATCAAAAAACCCATGGTCAAGCAAAACAAGCCCATAGCTTCAGAAAGGGCGAACCCCAAAATTGCGTATGAAAAAAGTTGCTGTTTCAGCGATGGGTTACGGGCATAACCGATAACTAACGCACCAAATACATTACCAATACCTGAAAGAAAAAAAATTACTTCAAAAAAGAAAAATTAGTCTCAAAAACTCTTGCCTCAGAAATCTGATCCAGAAGTGTTTTCAATTACAAACCGTAATAAAAATCATTTAATAGGTAGCTGAGACAATTCAGAAACGAATGTGCGGCAGAACATCCATAATATAATGTCCCCAAAAATTAAGCGCCAAAAAACAAAAATTTGCACCAGTATGACTCATACCAAAAATTTGCGCAAACAAAACTGAACTACCCCATTAACCAGTTTACTTTCCCAATTTCCCTTCAGGTCATACCGTCTATATAAACTTCAGAGCAAAAGTTACACTCTCATATTTCTTTGTAATGTTTCATTCCTAACTATATAAAAATTTAAGTGTTAACGCAGTTTTTTATTAGTAAACTAAAAGTTAATATGAATAAATCCACTATAAGAACAAAAGATACCAGCTCCAGATCCAGCTACACCAACAGTTGCAGCTCCAGCGCCAATATACTTGGCTGCACTATCAATATCCCTTCGTACGGCTGAGGTGTGCAGGCATCGGGCAACTGCTGTCACTTCACCCCTCATAAACGTTGGTGCACGTTGGACCTAAAACATGATAATTTTTTGGGCTTAAATTAACCTTTCGTCGGCGTATTTGATTAGAAATATTTATCCATATAACATAAATTGGTAACTGACCAATACTCTTGCAAGAGGAAGTGCAAGGCGAGCGCAGTACATTTTCAAGGTTGGATGTGACGACTGATAAAAAATACACCTATAACTAACAAAAGTAAAAAGACCTTTTTGCTTTTATACTTCATTTTATTCTGGCAACGATAATATTAAAAACAGTATACAAACAATTTCTTAACTGATCACATATATTCTCCCAACACATGGTAAAATACGAATTAAAAAAAATACGGCATTTTCCTATTGCATTTATGAGTGCAAACAATACAACAATACAATCCAACATTCAGAAAACGTTTTTAATAGACAACAAACCAATTCTAGATTCTGAAAACTATCAAAACCCCATTATTGCAGAACTAAAGTCAGGAAACTACAGAAGCATAAGAAATGTGAAGTGTTTTTGAACAGCAGATGTTATGGGAACCTTAGTAAAACTGAAAATCACAGCTAACCCTGAGTTGTTTTCTGTCTGCGTTTTACAGAGAAAAATTATTACCATTGGCAAAATTCCATCACCTCAATGTTCATTGTGTTAATTTTGACTGAACCTTTTCAGAACTTCTAACCCCTGCAAATCTGTTCCATCATTTATAATGCTGTGCTGGTATTATTAGGCTGAGTAGAATTTTTACAACTTTCCTCTGGAAAACGCCGTGCAGGTCTCGGTTTCAATTACTTTGTTTTGAGGTTTTTAGTAAAAATGAGTGCCAATTTTTCTTCTCTTTTGATATACTTAAAATTTGCTTTTTGCTAAAGTTTCATGAATCTTTAGATTCATATAAAGTGCTACCGTATTTGTAGCGTAGGTAACCTGAAAAGCTCCGAAGGTCCCATGAAAGCTTGTAAACTGATACAGAAGTTTAATGATAGTGGGATTTTGTCAACAAGAGTTATCCTTAGAATGAAGACAGAAGCCCCAATTTTACACAGGACTAGGCATTCTAGTTGTCTGCTGCACTGGTGTTACTCAAGAACTTGACTCAGTACCTCCTTACTAAATTACCCATGAGTGATACTACAAACATGGTGCTGATTCAGAAAAATTTGCACGTTAGATGGTTGTTAAATCCAGCGTTCAAAGATTTTACCACACAAATTGCACTGATTACTGGTGGACTTTTCTTTTTCGTTTGACCTTTAAAGCCCTTATGTTAATGTTGGATCTTTAGATAAAAAAAGATTTAAGAAAAAATTATAGAAAAACGAACTAAATTGATGAAAACGAGAACTAGCAAAACTCAAAACTCATATCAAATATACGATTAGAATTTAATTATAGCTTTAAAGAACAATGGGCGTAAAACTGCCACCACTTGAAACTGAAATATCCGTACAAACCCAATTCTCACCTCTCTTCTTCTTGCCAGTCCTAAAAATAACCATATTGTCTGCAGTAGTTCACTCACAAATGTGCCACGAAAAGTGGTATGAATGCAAAAAAATACTTAGATAACAAAAAAGTTACTAAAAGCAAGGAAAAAAAGGAATTACACTAGGTATTTAATAAAAACCCAAAATACATTAAAACTTAGTAATAAACCAGAAGACAACGTTCTGATCTTCTTGCTACTTCTTTTTTTCTCCATGATTGTGGAAAAAAAGAGAACAGCTTATTTATAGCCAACTATACACTTTCAGGTCATATACCAATAAATAAGGCATAATATTTGTTTTATCAGAGAAAAAACTGATTTACCAGTCAAAAAATTCTAACACAGCTAGCCTGTACTATTAATTGAATCGCAAAGGCGTTATCATGAAATGTGTAAAAAATTCAAAACTTGAAAGTCGTATGATTTCATCTCTATACAAGAAAGATAGAGCAGAAAATGGAGCACTTTTTTACCGAACGTCGGCTGGGCAGACAGTAAAACTACGTAAAATGTCTATTCACGGGTTGTCCACTGATTGCTTTACACTTAAACATGCAATTAGTTCTCGCTCCTTAAGTTGGTCCTATATTATTACCGCAGTTAATTGCACCTACTGCTGCTGACCCTTGCATTTGCGTGCCTTATTGTTCTTCCGCATTACCCCATAATGTCCAGGGCCGTTGATCACTGCCTGTTCACACTCATTCTATGGCAAGAAACAGGCGATTTTTAAAAAAGGGATGAATAAAGAGCGAAGAAACAAAGATGAGGAAGAAAGAGCAGAAAATGGGAAGAAACTTGAGGAGAGAAGCGAAAAGGAGCTAGAAAAAAATCTACAGCATAGAGCAGAAACGCAGCAAAAGATAATCAAGAGAAGGGAAAGAAGCGCCGAAAAAGAGCAGCAAAAGGAGAGTAGATAGTGATGGAAAAAGAGGAACTCCTAAGCGAACGTTCAATGGAAACAGTAGAGGAAAAAGACGAAAGAACGGAAGGAACACAATTTTTTTAAAAGAGCATAGGGACAAATGAAGAAGTAAAGAACCAGGATTAAAGTAAACGAGAAGGCAAGGACGACGACAAGAGCAAGAAGGAAGATGAGTAGTTTAGAAAAGATGCAGAAACCATAAATAGTAGATGCCGCCGAAGAAGAAGGGAATGGAAAGATTAGACTAGAGATAGAAGTACGAGAAACGTCGTAGGTCAAAAAGTAAGAAAAGAGACCATAAAGAAGAGACAAAATGGAGCAAGAAAGGGAAAGAGAGGAGAAAGAATTTGGTGAAGGAAGAAACAGAATAAGACAGTACAGGGCAAAAGAAAGAGATAGAGAGGTGTGAGGAGAACAGTGGTGAGAAGAGGTAGCGAATGAACGGTTGAGAAGAGGAAGAAACGAAAGTGAAGAGTGAGGGAGGAACACAGGAGGAATGTAGTACGGAGGAAGGAAGTCTACGGGAAAGAGGGGTAGAATCAGGAAAAAAGAAATAATAGCGTTAAGGGAGTGTGACGGAGGCAAAAAAAAAGGAAGTGGTAAGGCAAGAGAGGAGTAAAATAAAAAAAAAGGAGATAAAAACGTAGAGAAAAGAGTAAAGACGGGAAGACAAAAGAAGACGAGTAGAAAGAAAAAGAGGAAGAAAAAAGAGAAACAAAGGAAGAGGTGTAACTCAGAGAAAATGAAGGAAAATAATAATAGAAGTCGGGAATGATAAGAAAGAGAGAGGAACATGGGAGAAAGAGGGAAGGAAATGTGGTGAGAATTACAGGAGAAAGGAGGAAAGCGTAGGAGATCAGATGAAAAGTGAGATTAGAAAATCACTAAAAATGATTTTAACGCAAAGGGAGCGGGAAAATGGAGGAAGAGAGAGAAGGATGGAGTTAAAAGGATAAATGGGCGAAAGAAATTTGGAAAAGTAAAATTGGGTTGTGGGTGGATATCGGAGCAGGAAGGAGGGAGAATAACGTCAAGAAGAAGGAAGTGAAACAAAAAATAAGTAAATAAATACAAGTAGAAGACTGAGGAAGGAAATTAGTTTTGAGAGGAAGAAGATAAATGAGAGAATAAGGAGGGGGTACAGAAAGGGTATAGAGAGTTGAATAGCCGGAAGGCAGCAAGTGAACGCACGATTAGGGAACAAAGAAAATTTGCATCGGAGAACAAAATCATAACAAATGGTGGATTAAAGTGGCAATTTGAAAAGAAAATGACGCGAACGATCGAAGAGCTTCGGTGGGAAATGTAAATTAAAGTTGGGTGGGGGGGCTAAAGGTAGAGGAGAATGTGTGGTATAATTATGCCCACTGCAGAAACCTGCGACGCATCGGAGTCACTTTTCCTTATGGTGCAAGCTATTTACCTAATTCCACTTCTGACCATAATATTCATTGTTCTTAAACTCGTCAGGTTTCCTTTATCTTTTTTTTTTTTTTTTTTTTTTTTTTTTT